TGTGTGCTGATTAATAATGTGACACATCATAAATATTTAATAATAATGACGTCTTTTTATTCTATCCATCCATTTTCTTCCCCTTAATCCTTTTCTGGGTCGGGGGGGTGGCAGTCAGAGCTGCACCCAGTACACAGAGCACCAGCCCCTCACTGATCCTCCTGCAGGTGGTGAGTCCACAGGAGCTGAGATCTTTCAGTTGGGGCTTTGGGCAAAGTAGGGTTAAGTGTCTTGCCCAAGGACACAACGGCAGCAGTCATCAGTGGGAGTCGTGAAGTAGGTCTTGCGGTGGGCTCGAACCCACGACCTTCAGGCCCAAAGGGCAATGCTCTTCCAACTGAGCTACTGTCGTCCCTCTTTTTATTCTAATATTTTCAAAATGTTTTTATTGGCCAATACAGGTGAAACTCTGAAAATAGTTCAAAAAGTGAATTTACCTCTCTACATTTCAAAAGGCTGCTCAAGAAGGAAGTGCTCAAGAAGTATGTGGAGGAGTGAGGACTTCAGTATAGAGGGAGGGAGGTGTGAGGTCAGAGAGTGTTTGGGCCTGTGTCGTGTCGGGTGTTGTGATTGTGTTGTGTGTGTGATTGGCTGATTGTGTGTTGAATGAGTGAGGGGTTGCAGTCCAAATAAGCGTCTGCTTCGTCCAGCCTCCTTTTTTTTCTGTTTATTTTGTGTCTTGCTTTTGTTTTTATTTAACTTGCATATTTGTCTATATTGCTTTATTTGCATAACGTTTGAAATAAATTCTACTACTACTACTAAATGTGAAACGTATAAGACTTATAAGACAGTACGTGAAAAATAAAATATTTGAATATATAAATATATGTTATCATGTTGCCACCTTACATTGTGTGCACCATGTGTAGCACTGTATATTGTATATAGTAATTGTAACTCTATTTTAATTTTAATTTTAAATTTATTCCTTAGAAGTGTTTTTTATTCTTTTTATTTTATTCTATTCTCTCTCTCTGACTGTTGCACTGAGCCAAAGCAATTTCCAAGTCTGTGACCTCCTTTTACTTATGTGGCAAAAAAAAAAATTCTGATTCTGATTCTGATCATTGACACAGCTTGTAAAAACCAATACAAAACATCTAAAACATGAAAATAATTTTTAAGTACTGTACGCCAAAATCCTCAATAACAATAACAACCTTTATCTTTGCGGCAATCACATTTGCTTCATAAATGTTGTATGGATTATTTAGAACTCATAATTCTTCGATCTTGAGTCTCATCCTATTATTCATTCAAGTTGCTCTTTGCACACACTTCCTCTTCTTCCTCCTTCAAATCTCTCACATGCACTAACTTCAAATGCGCAGCAGCGTCCCGTCGCTCCTGTGTCCTGACGGGAAAATGAATGGCTCTATTATGCCCAGAACACACCTCCATTCTCAGGAGAGACCCCTAACCTTCCTCTGTTACATAATGAGCCAAACCCGGCTGTATTTGCCTCATTTTGTCTGTTTTTCTCCACAGTGAATACACTCTTTGTATTTGCTACAATCTGGAAGTAAAGTCTGTCATTGAGAAGGCACATACTTCAATACTTTGGGCGAAAATATTTGCAGAACAAGATGGTTCCTTTGTTTGATATGCTCTCAAGTATTAGACTGGTCTTGCTTGACAATATCATAGATCAGCAAAAAAGATTATAGCTACGATCACATCATTTATTATTGAGAAGTTTGAAGGTCCTTTATTCTTCCCGTAATGGAGAAATTTCAGTTTGATGCAGACATATATACACATACACATCAAGGCAAGCAGCGAACATCACTTCCGCGCTCCTTATAGGCAAAGTGGGTTAAGTGTCATGCCCAAGGACACAACAACAGCAGACATCAGTGGGAGTAGATGGAGAAAGTCTTGTGGTGGGCTCGAACCCGCAACCTTTGGGCTCAAAGGTCAATGCTCTACCAACTGAGCCACTGTCGTTAAAGAGGACAAACAACTTCCAAATGCAGGTGGCACCATTACAAGTTTAATAGAATATATTCTGGGTACATATATTCTGTATACAGCATTGTAATTGACTTATTGTCATGACAGACTTTAATATTACTTTTAGTAAAAAAATGTATATAGCACCTTTCACAGACCAGAGTCAATAAAACAATTGTTTCGGGCATTTGTCTCTCACTCCACACAGAGATGGGCAGGAGCATAATAACCCGTTCATGCCAAGACAAACACACAAATGCCACAACAAAGTTAACAAGTCCATCCATCCATTTTCTTCCTCTTAATCCATCTCCAGTCACTCAGTCCACAGAGCACCAGCCCCTCACTGATCCTCCTGCAGGTGGTGGGTCCACAGGAGACTCGATCTTTCAATGTCGCCCCGAAGTTAACAAGTGCCACATGATATATAGATTAATTGATACAAACAAAATCTAAAAAGGTTCATAAAAACTTGAATGTGGTAGTTCTTAAGAGTTATTGAAAGTTTCAGTTTCTTGGTCTAACTTGGTTTTTGAGCGTGGTCTTTATATGTTCGATTGCTGGAAACCAAACCAATCCTTGAGGCCCCTGGGAGCTCAGTTGAAGTCCATATCATGTGACTCCGGAGATCTCCCATCTCACAGAAGAGAGAGTGCCGGAGAGCCGAGCGGAAGTGGCGAAAGTCAAATCTCCAAGTTGACCATGAGATCTTCAAAGATGCATTGTGCAAGTTCAACAGTGTGCTACGTAGAACGAGGGAAACTTGTTTTTCCGAAACAATCGAAGGTTGCAGTAACAATCTACGCGTTCTGTTCTCAACAGTAAATAAATTGACAAATCCCCCTGTTAAGATGCCATCAGAGCTTACCTCCAAAACCAAATGTAATGAGTTTGCAGAGTTTTTTAATGACAAAGTCCAAGGCATCAAAAATGCCATCACCTCCACAGTAGAAATTACAATCCAACAGCCAGTGAAGCTTTTTGGGCTGACACACTTTACACCAGTACAAAATGAAACTGTCCAAATGATAATTACAAGTCTGAGTTCTTCTACATGTAGCCTGGATGTATTACCTCCTAGATTTCTTAAATCTGTTCTGAGCAGTCTTTTACCTTCACTCACGCATATAGTAAATATGTCTCTTGAATCTGGAACATTCCCAATGGCCCTGAAAACGGCAGTCATCAGACCCCTCCTAAAAAAGAGGAGTCTGGATGCCTTGGCACTTAAAAATTATCGGCCCATTTCAAATCTGCCTTTCATGGGTAAAATTCTAGAAAAAGTTGTCTATCAACAACTTACAGAATTTTTAATAATCAATCACTCTTTTGATATGTTCCAGTCTGGTTTTAGACCCCACCACAGCACAGAGACCGCTCTAGTGAAGGTAACAAATGACATCAGACTTAACACTGACGCAGGAAAAGTCTCAGTTCTTATCCTGTTAGATTTAAGTGCTGCTTTCGACACTGTCGATCATGGTATCCTCATTCAGAGACTTGAGGACTGGGTTGGTGTTTCTGGAACAGCCCTAAGCTGGTTTATATCCTACCTACAGGACAGAAAGTATTTTGTGGAGATCGGAAACTGTATCTCAGACCATCTGGCCCTAACCTGCGGAGTGCCACAGGGATCAATCCTGGGGCCTCTCCTGTTTAATATTTACATGCTGCCTCTGGGTAGGTTAATACACAGTAATAACGTGTCCTATCACAATTATGCTGACGATACTCAGGTCTATGTGTCCCTGACAGCAGGAGAACATGGACCAGTGGACTCGCTCCTTCACTGTATCCAACAAATCAGTGATTGGATGCAAAATAACTTTCTCCAGCTAAACACAGAAAAAACTGAAATTATTGTTTTCGGACCTCAAAAACAAAGAGAGAGCGTTATCTGCCACCTCCAGTCTCTCTCCCTAAAACCCTCAACTCAGGTCAGAAATCTAGGAGTAATAATGGACTCAGACTTAAATTTCAATAGCCACATATCATCTGTGACATCATCAGCTTACTTCCACCTAAGAAACATTGCTAAAATTAGGAACATTGTGTCTAAAGCAGACTTGGAGATTCTTATCCACGCATTTGTCTCCAGTCGATTGGACTACTGCAATGGCTTGTTCACAGGTCTCTCTAAACAAGCGGTAAAACAGCTGCAGTACATCCAAAATGCTGCAGCTCGAGTCCTGACTAGAACCAGGAAGTACGACCACATTAGTCCGGTCCTCAGGTCTCTGCACTGGCTTCCTGTGGCTCAGAGAATAGATTTTAAAGTAGCTTTACTTGTGTACAAGTCTCTCCATGGCCTCGCACCAGGGTACATCCGCGACATGTTGGTGCCATATGAACCAACTCGGGCTCTGAGGAGCACAGGGACTGGACTTCTGTTAGTGCCAAGAGTCGGAACTAGACATGGGGAGGCTGCGTTTCAGATTCATGCAGCTAGAGTCTGGAACCGTCTTCCCGAGAGTGTGAGACAGGCGTCTACTCTAGCAGTTTTTAAAACTGAACTGAAAACAGTTCTTTTTAGCTGTGCATACAAGTGAATGATTTTATATTTGTTTTTATCTTTAATCTTTTTAATGCGCTATGATTATTTATGATTATTTATGATTGTAATCCCTTGTGTGATTTTAATGTTTTACGGTTTTTAACTACTTGTGTGATTTTATATATCTTGTGCTCTTAATCTGTCTTTTTATGTTTACTTAAATTCTAATGTTTGATGATTTATGCATGATGTTATATGGGTTGTGAGGCGCTTTGCGTTGCCTTGTGTAGGAAAGGCGCTCTATAAATAAACGTTGATTGATTGATTGATTGATCTGTTTCATACTGTCCAGACCACTCAGATTAAACCAGATTTGATGGGGCTCACTCAAAAGTTTATGACCACAAAATTGCAAATGCAGTTGTTTTTTTCCTTTCCCAAATATTCATGTTTACATTTTTTTTCTATACCTTCGTAGTGTCAAGTTGAACCAAAATTTTATAATATTTTGCAGTACAGTAAAAACAGAGCAATGCATTTAAACAGCCCAATGCCATCTTGTCTGTCCTTGTGTTTGTGTAGCAGTAGTCTGATCCAGGGGCCCGGGCTCCCCTTTGGCGTGCTCAGGGGCCCGCTGCCTTTAGACTCCTGCAGTGGCATAAAAGAGCTTCTGTCCCGCGCAGACCTGCCCCACCGCAGACGCTCAGCCACCATCATCACCTCCACATCACAGAGATCCAGAGCCAGCGGGATCACTGTGAGACAGACCCAGCACAGGGGCCACTAACCAGGGCCCCTGCAGGCCGGCAGGGGGGAGTCATTTGCTCTTTCAATATAGCAAAGGAATCATAGCCCAGTTTCTATGAATAGCATAAATGTCGGTAAGAGGTGGATTTGAGCATGGATGTACACTGGAATGTTAAAATGCTGAGGGGAAATGAATTTCATGTTGCTCTTTGGAAATCCAAATACTGGCATGTCATAAATATTATACCAACGCATGCTTTGGCTACAAAGTGACGCAGCTTTCAGTCGTAATACATACTCTTAATAATCAAGGAAAGAAATTGATGCCATTGCAATAGGTTTGCATTAGCACCGTTAACACGTTTAACTGACAGCAGTGTTTTGACAGCATTGGTCTTTGGACCTAATGGTTTGGGGTTCTATCCCCCCACAACGCATGTCACCTGCTCTTACCGATGTACACTGTTGTTTCCTCGTGTTGCGAGCTCGGAAGCACTTAGCTAGAATCTCACTATATTTCCAATGAGAACTATACAAATAAATACCAGCAACGCCACCTTAGATTTTGGCCTAAGGAACCATTAAGAAGTTTATCCCCGCATCACTAGACCACAGGTTTGTTTGGATATGGAGAGAAACAGAGGCAAATCTAACAAAATATAAGTTTATTTAAATAGCTGACAAGTTTAATTGATTATTCTAATAAGCACACACACACTCCCATTCATTCTCAGTCATACTGCATGCATTCCAGAACAATACAATCAACAGCCAGATAAACCAAAAAAAGAAAAGAAACAATTAACTTTTAAAAAGTGTCCCAACTAAAGCAGCCGTTGCGTTTAGCCACACTAGGGCCGGAATTTGGTTACCTTGTGGGTAGAGGAATAAAAAGAAGCACTGGTTGGATTGTCCTTAGTTGAGGTGCGTGGAGGATTGGAGGCGCTGGATGGGATACGCGTCCTGCAGTCCTGCGGCCACCACATATTTATATACTCCCACTCATAAGATGCCTTTAGATTTAAAAAGGCCAGACTACAGTGCAAAAGACCCCACTTGGAAGGGGAGGTCGGAGACAACAGGAATCCTAAAACATTATTGTGTATTAGAAACAAACTCCTATTGTTTAACACAGAGTTAAACATACCGTTGCAGATTGAAGCGCTCCGCGCACGAGCCGCCCCAGCCCGTGACAGCTCACACTGGGACAAGCCTTTACGCACGGCAGTAACGTCCACGCCAAAGGGCCCGGTGAAGGAAAGCAGGCACAGCAGCGGTGTGCGCGCTAAGACGCCGGTATGCTACAAAACACGATTTTAGGATAATCTAACTAATATTTTAATCACTACGCAGTACTCACCAAAAGCGCATACAACGATCGCGTGGTTCAATTGCGCGGCCTCTCGCCTTGAACCGTGGTAGTTTGGTAACGAGACGCTGATCAAAACACCTGCTCTGTCCCGGGCCAAGTCACTCGACGTCAGAGGCGGAAGAGGTCGGGCCAAGGTAGGACGCGCCTCTATAAAGAGCTGGACCAAACTCTGATTGGCTAACCAGCGGGAGTGCGCACCACTACACTCGCGCAAGACACTTATACCCACTTTGCCTGAAGCCTCCGCTGAAAGACCAAGGCTATATCTTTGATGACAGAGCAGCCATCATCCTGTGGACCGTCCACCTGCAGGAGGATCAGCGAGGACTGGTGCTTTGAGCATTGGGTAGCAGCTCTGATTAAGAGACAAGATCATTTATCCGTCCTGCTGGAGGGAATTTTCAATGTTGCAGCGCACATATGGGACAGTAATAAGAGCACCATTCCCCCGACCCAGAAATGAGCCAATACATAGTTCCCACAGACCAATGAATGTCACATGACCTCCTCGGAGACGCCATCTTTGATGGCACGCTGCTGTGTTTACAAAGTTTAATGAGTTTCACTCGCAAATTTCGAATGTTTAATCCTGTTTTTAAAATGTTACGAAAATCATGAAGAGACAAAGTGACAGAGATTATAAAGAGACTCTATTAACACAAGATAGAGAGAGGTACGATGCGAAAATTTCAGTCATTAATTGTGTGGATCCGTATACGCTAATACGGATTAATAATTTTAATTATATTAACAATTAATTTAATTAATGCTAATGCCACACGGACACTCTGGATTGCTGTTATTGTTTATTTCCGCGTTTTTGACCGTATGTTTTGGTGAATGGAGGGCAACTGATTTTTCCAGGCGTAAAGAGCAGTTTATTTTATGACACAGATCTTTTTACAGAAGCAATGCTGTTTGTTAACATTGTTTTAGCCCACCATAGAACTATTATTATCTATTTAATACATTTACGTTGCCCTCGAGAGCCTCGGACGCGACACCGATCCTCCTCATAATAAAGTAATCTAAATAATGAAACTCTCAAGTTACCAGCTATCAGCATACACAAGTTAGTACTGAGTAAATTACGTCTGTCAACACATTATAAGATACGATACTCACCTGACACAAAGTGCTCCGAGCATATTCTTGCGTGTTTTGAGGGAGTTTCTTGCCTGTTTATCTTCGCAAGCCATAACCTCCGTCGTTGTTCTGACAAAAGCTTAGTCTTCTCACATTCATGAAGTCTAATGATGGGTATACTGTAAAATCCAAGTTTAACAGAACCTCCGGCACGATTTGAACATCCATTGACCCAGCAGGAGATGACCATTTTCAACTTTATCACGACATTAACACGTTTCAGCTTCTTCTTCTATTGTTTTGCCCACAGCATGCCAACACAAATGGCGCCGGGTCGGCAAATCCCTGTATGTAGTGACGTCATGTAGGAACTATGTATGAAAGGGATGAAAATGACAGCACTAATGACATATGGTTATGATCTGGTGCTTAGATCCCGGCAGAGCAATGCATTACGAAGGCAGAAGGAGAAATTAAAAGGATAACAGTGAGCACATAGTTTCTCTGGTCTTCCTCAACCTCCAATTAGTTCAGAGTTTGAAAGTTTTGCAAAGGAAGATGAGGAAAGTCACTTGTGTTTATTGAGCAACTTTCAGTCAAATAGTCATGGTCTTTCAGCGGTGGCTTCAGACAAAGTGGGGTTAACTGTTTTGCCCAGGGACACAACGACAGCAGACATCAGTGGGAGCAGGTGACATGGGTCATGGTGGGCTCGAACCCACGACCAAAGACCAGTGCTCTACCATCTGAGCTACTGTCGCCCCCCACAAAATTAATTATCTTATTCAAACAAAATAACAATAATGGAGTGAGGGTGTGTGGTGTTCTGTTCCCAGCCCATGTCAGGACTGGACTCTGGAGCAGAATGCTAATAGAAGCGAGCGGAGCATGGGAAACACGGGAGGAATGATAATGACAGTTAATGGAGAGGAGGCCAGGTGTGGTCCTGCAGCGAGGACGGGAAAGTGAAAGGGCTTTGGCACACCACCTGCATCAATATGAAACATTTTATTATGTACATTTGTCCATCACCTGTTCACTTGGTGGTCTATGTGCAAAACTTTTTAACATTGTAAGCGTGCACATAATGTATTGTCCCATGATGGCACTGTTTCTTGGGGGGAGGTAAGAAGGCTGGAATATTATATCGTTTTTAACTGCACAAAATCATTTCTTCATTTGTAGTTAGGGTTGGGCGATATTTTTTTTGCACCGGTATACCGGTATAAGTAAATTAAATGATAAGAAAATGCCTTATACCGGTGAAAACGATCATTTAACACTGGAAACAGCGAGCGGAAGACACGTTTGTGTGCGGCGCACTTTGATGACGCATCTGCGCGGCACGTGTAGCAGAGCGGCGTGCAGGCACAACAACAACAGAGCAGAGAGCAAACATGGCTGAGGGCGGCGGTGAAGACCATGGTGAAGACATGCAGATTGTAGAAGACATTGTGCCAAAACGCGGAGCTACCTCAAACATATGGGAGTAGTTTGGGAACTAGATAAAAAGAAGCAATTGTGTGTAACTATCGACAGTGGATCTAATGTTGTGAAAGCAGCTGCCCTAAACAACTGGACTCGAGTGGCTTGCTTCGGACACTCGCTCTCTCTCTCTCTCTCTCTCATAGTGCCATTGGTAAGCTTTATTTACTGTTTACTGTCATTCATTTTACTTCAATGCATGTGTTTGTCTACATTGCAATATAATTACAAATAAGTTATAATTACATAATTATAGAAACGCAAAAGGATACAAAAAATATATACAGTATTTGATCATTTTGACTATATTGGGATTAGGAAACATAAGCCAAAGTGATCAAATAATTATTTGATAATGCTACACTTTTTATATTACAAAGGACAAACTTTTATATATTTTACAAATTACAAATGTTCACCTTTATTACATGTTGCCTGCAATTTTCAGTATGTACAAAACAGAATTCTCTACAATTCAGTTTTGTTAATACGTTTTATATACAATAGCTGTATTACACATTTTGCTGCCAATAAATTAGTAAATGCACTTTGAGGCAAGTGTGTTTAAAATTATCAGTGCTAAGTTTTTATAGCTTTTATATGAGGCTTTGTTAAAATTATCATATCGTCATATCGTGATACATACCAACAAAAATCGTGATACATGCTGAGGCCCATATCGCCCAACCCTATTTGTAGTATACAGCAAGATAAGACGATGCAAGTGCAGGTGATATTAGGAGGACTTTGTTTTTCTCAAAATTATCATAATCATTGATCTAGAATAACCTTTATTAATCGTAACCTGTATCGTACTAGATTGCTGTGCTTTTTAGCCCTATAGACTTAATCTCAGCAAAGGGAAGACATTGCTGCAGATCACAGTATAGTGCATACATTTTTTTTTTTTTTGCCAAAACGCCTGTGCAATGCTGTGGAAAACTGTGGAAAAACGCACTGAAGAATACTGTGTCACAACTTTAAGTTTGTGAATAAAGGGGGAAACAAATGTGTGATTACAACCTGCAGGCACAATTTTTGAGTGTATCTTTTTCCCCACATGTGCAGGATGGACACTTTAACGTCCATTTACTCTGACATCAGGCCCAGTCCAACCATTTCACGCCTCAAGGAATGCATTTTACTCTTTTCTAGCAGACAAATTTTCTTAAAACAATCAAAATATAAACAAGGACACAGGCACCAAGTCACATTTACTAGATAACTTTATATCGATTGTATGAACTGCTACTATTTGTATGAGTTATGAAGATGTTGCAGAGGTATCATGTCCAATATACATGCAGATGGGTATAAGTTCAAATATTGAGTAATGGCATCAAATAAAAGAGCCATGCATAAATCACTCCGGCCCCACTGTGTTGAACATTTTCAGGTAATAAAACATTGTACCTGAAAACATCTGCTCAGCATCTGATTTCTCTGCTTCAGCTAAACTCAATATGTCTGCTTCAAAACTGTGGAGCTAACCTTAGCCTCTGTAACCTTTAGAACTTCAATTTGTATTGTATCTGTATCGTGTATGCTTTTTTATTCATTGCTGACTGTAATAGATTTATAGGTAGAAGAAAGACAATAGGAAACATTTTTGTAAAAATGTTAAGTGTTTTTAAAACCTTGAGAGGTGACTGCATTTCCCTCACACATCAGAAGTACTGAAAATAAATGATCTGTGACAGATCAAAACAAATTAAAGTTGATATATGTGCTGCTTTTGACTGCATTATACTGAAGAATGTGCGTTTAAATGGACTCGTGCACAGGTCTGGAGGTCTCTCCCATGTGGGATATGGAATGTACATCTGTATTTGTTATTGTCATGACTGGAATAAAGATGCCTGTGTTGGTAAGCGATTACAAATGAACCACACATGCTGAATGTCTTATTACACATTCTTGCTTTACTTTGGTCAAAGTGTATTTTTATTATATACGGTACACTTAGCCAGTCTATGGATCTATTATAATAAGTGGATAGGGTATTACTAGCTTGTAGCTGAAGAACTCACGTGCTCGGGGGATTCTCGCGGTACTGCAGACTGAACCAGACTAAATTCACGTGGGCTACCCAGAAATTTTCCTCATAGAACTCAATGCATATTAAAACAGCTCAACCTCAGCTGACAGAGAACCTACAGCTTTAATAAAGATCGGATTTTGTGGGGATTTTAGTGTCCCTTGTCATTCTGAACTTTTTTTCTTCTTGAATCCTTTGGTTTTGTTTAAATCCACATTTTAGTGCCACAAACTCTGCCCGTCTGGCTCTCGCTCTAACTCCCGCTCTGATGAACTGCTCTGATTGGTCAGAGCGCGGCCAAGCCCCTCTGTGCACGTGCGTGAGACCCGGTGTGAGACCCACACACGCGTGTTTGGCGCTACGCATTATGGAAGATCATCCACTGCACAGAACCGGGAGGACCAGACGATGCCCAAATACAGGCGAGTTTCCCATAGATCTTTGCGACTTCCAGGCGACTTCCGCTAATCTTTCAGCCCCCATGCCGTCACAAAGCGCCACTGAGCACAACCATTCATTTGAATAGGGCGCCATCTTGGATCGCCGGGGCTTGGTGCAGTGTGAGAATGCATCGATGGCACTATCTGGCTTCCTTGCTTCTGTCAGTGCACCCCAGGGCAGCCGTGGCTACAGTGGACGTTTATCACCACTGCGTATGGAGTGAAAGAAAATGACAAATGAAAGCATTGTTGAGTGAGTAAAAATTTGATATGTTGTTTCAATAAAATGACTAATTTAATTTTTCTTTACAGATAGAAAAGTCAGAGCATTTTGCATTTACATCCTCCCTTTGACAGGGATCAAATCTGCCTGGCTCATCAGAAAATACAAAGCTTAGGCGACATTGGCAGAGGACCTGATGGATGGAATAAAACATCTGAATATTGTTGCTTTTTAAAATGTTTTTATTTTATTTTTTTAAATATATAAATAAATATAAAATATACTGTAAATTGAAAATATAAAATTCAAACAAAGATAAAGTAAAAATATAAACTTAAAAGATAAAGTAAAAATATGAAATTCAAACAAAGATTAAGTCAAAATATAAACTTAAAAGATAAAGTAAAAATATAAAATTCAAACAAAGATAAAGTCAAAATATAAAATTCAAACAAAGATAAAGTAAAAATATAAAATTCATACAAAGATAAAGTGAAAATATAAAAATCAAACAAAGATAAAGTCAAAATATAAAATTCAAACAAAGATAAAGTCAAAATATAAAATTCATACAAAGATAAAGTAAAAATATAAACTTAAAAGATAAAGTCAAAATATAAAATTCTAACAAAGATAAACTCTAAAAGTAAACTTCAAACAAATAAAACCGTTCAAACAAAGAAACTCTAAAAGTAAACTTCAAACGTAGCCTTGACATCCTCAAATAAAGTAAAACTTACTCAAGAAAAGTCTTAGGCCAAAAAAACAATAAATAAATCCTCAATAAAGAAAGAAAGGTTTGAGGAACAGTGTCATCCGTCGCTTCACACGTTTCAGGAGGATTCTTCTGAAACACTTAAATCAGCTTCATCCTTTTAAACTAATGTGAAGCATCCAGACTTTAACCAAGTTAAATGTGCCCTGAAAGCTCATGGGCGTTCTGTCAACGATGTTTTAGATTGAGAGTTATTTGCTGGTGCTTGAGGTGGAGGTTTCTGCTGCAGTCCTTTTAGATGTGAGATATTCTATTCCTCCATAAATCATCATGGGTAGTACCACAGCGCCAGTAATCAAGGGAGAGCGTGTCAGCGCAAAACAAGTGGCAGCCTGTAGTGTAAGAGCACCTCCAAAGCAGAGAGTTCTCACAGCTGACCAACAGGAGGTGCTGTTCGATGGCTCATTAGTGTCATCTTCAGAATAGTCTGCTATTTCAATCTCGACATGTTCGAGAACATGTTCTGGCTCTTTGTCAATCTGGGTTTTTTGGTCGACCTCAATGGAACATGAGTTGAGCTGCTCCTCATGGTGTTCAGGGCAGATAACCACGTCTTTTGGGAGAATAACTTTTTCTTCAATACCAATGCAGTCCTTTAGCTCCGGGGGAGCCTCATTCACCTTCTCTTCAGGAGATATCTCGATGTAATTTCCAAAAGATGGGCCAGATCCCTCCGCTACAGCAGCAGAGAGCTGTGGAGGCTGATCTGCATTTACATTTTCTTTGTTTTCTGTCAGAGCAGAAGCTGAGGTGTTAAGAGTCACCGACATCAATTCACGGGCAATAGTGACATATTCAGTATCAACATTCACTAAATGTTCCATAGTAATAAACGGATGCCTCAGTGCTTCACTGGGAGTTATCCTCTTCTCTGGATCCGTCTGCAACAGACTTTTAAGTAAATCCATAAATGCCGTCAGGTCCGACTGCACATCCTCGTCCATATTTTCATGGCCGTACATAATCGCGGCCTCAAGATTTGGAGCGTCATCCAAAGGACTCACACCAATATCAGGCTTTTTCCAGTTTGAGGCCTGGTACTCAAAGGGTGTCTTCAAAGACCACTGGGATCTACTTTCAAGAAAGCACTTTTCAGCATACAAGCTTCGGTTGAGCATCTCATTGCTGGGTTGTTCTACCAAGCGAATGATGGTCCTTAGGTTGTCATAGTCAGATATGTTGGAGAAAGGTTGGCAGTGCAAGAAGCCCTCTACTAAGCTGCAGCCCAGGGTCCACATATCCAATGCCCCAGACAGTGGAGCACCTAGGGTCACCTCCGGAGCACGATACCCATCTGTCATAATGAGTATGCCCTGTTCCAGCTCGGAGAAGAAGCCTCCGCAGCCAAAGTCGATCAGCTTCACTTTATAAGGCTGATCTTTGTGGTTAACTAACATTATATTGTCTAGTTTCATGTCAGCATGTACCACGTGTGCCTCTGTCAGCGCCTCAAAGGCCACAAGGAGCTGTTGAGTTATGGGTCTCAACTCGTTCAGTGCAAAAGGCCTTTGACGATGCCTGATGAAGTCATATAAACTGCGGTCCAGAACTTCATAGGCAATGCACTCATAATCCTCATGTCGGAAATGCTCAAAGCATTTGATGATGTTCACTTTGTCTGGATCTATGCTGTTGCTCAGATGCTGGAGGATATCAAGTTCTCTCTCCATATCCTCACTGTTGTTTTCAAATATTTTGAGTGCCACAATTTCTCCAGTCCTGGTGTTCAAGCATCGAACAACAATTCCAAAGGTTCCATATCCAAGGATCTCCTGCAGCACATAGTTTCCCAGCTGGGGCGGCAGTTTCTCCAGTAGTGGATGGTCCATGGTAATTGACTCCATTTTACACTCCATTTAAAGTCCTTTTAAGAGCCTGTGTTACATATGACCTTGATCAAATACTTTGGATTCAAGTCCTCTGGTCTAGGGAACTTTGGGAGGCAATCTGATAAACGTGTCATACGATTCTAGAACCATACACCAGTCTCCATGGTGAGTAAATCCAGATTGATATCAACCATTCTAGAATATTCTATTTAATTTGGAGGACAGGTGTCAATAGAACTCTGAGGGAAAGAACCCATTTTGAAAACAAATAATAATAATAACAAAAATAGTCCAATTTTTTTGATACTGGGGCGACAGTGGCTCAGATGGAAGAGCATTGGCCTTTGAGCCTGAAGTATGTGGGTTCAAACCCACCAAATGACCTACTTCACAACCCCCAACTGATGTCCGCTGTTGTTGCGTCCTTGGGCAAGACACTTAACCCCACTTTGCCTGAAGCCCCTGCTGAAAGATCAAGGAGAATCAGTGAGGGGCTGTCGTTCTGTGTACTGGGTGCAGCACTGACTGCCACCCCCCGACCCAGAAATGGATTAAGGGGAAGAAAATGTATGGATGTTTTGATACTGATTTGATAGTGATTAGATTCACAAACCTGCAACGGGTCTTTTCTGTTGACCAGCATCATATTGTCTTTAAATACCTTCACCACTTTCAGATGCCTTCTATGAGAAAATATTATTATTAGATGTGGAATTGTGTTTATTCATTAACCTTGAAAGTTCAAAACTTGTTGAGTAGAGCGTGGGAAATTATTTTAATTTATTCGTCCCGCAGTGTGGAAATTTCAGTGTTGCATCACAAGTCACAGAACAGTAGGAATGAGGAGCACACAGCACAAGATAAATGAACATTAGCTATACTAATTAAAATATTAAGTATTATCTCTAACTCTAGCATCAAAGATACAAGTTTAAAATATCTATCTTTATCAAAATAAATAAGTATAAAATATCTATCTTTAACAAAATAAAGGATAAAATCTCTAAATTTGGCAAAATAAGAAGTATAAAGTATTGCGTATTCTCGTGCAAGCAATATATAGTTTGCATCTGTACATTAGCAGCAGTATGTTTACATCTGTACATGTTAGCAGCAGTATGTTTACATCTGTACATATTAGCAGCAGTATGTTTACATCTGTACATGTTAGCAGCAGTATGTTTACATCTGTACATTAGAGTACAGATTACATGAGTCATAGAGGTTCTTTAGGAGTGGCCCCTGCTCTCCAAAAGACCTGAGCCTCCTCAGCAGAGTTGGCTCTGGTTCTTCTTGAAGAGGACGCCCTCTTGGACTCTGTTATGAGTCCAGTCCAGTTTGTGGTTCAGATGAAAAACCAGGTACTTGTCAGAGTCCACTCTTTCCTTAAAGCTGCACTAACTGACTTTATTTTCGTATTAATTACGAAAATGCTATCCATGTCCATGTAGTGCATTGGGATATACGTCCTTTTGAAGAAAAAGTAGCGCAGATTTGTGCTGGCCTGACATTATATTTTTGATCGAGTTTTGATGAAACAAGGAAGAGAATGTGTTTCGGGTCGCAGATTGTGACCAATCACAGCGCACCACTAGCCCCCACTTTCGTGAGAAATCTACAGGTCCGTTAGCATAGACAGCTGAGCACAACAAGCAGCGGAGCTAACCTGAAACTTTCTCGTCTTCGTCACCGGGTACTGCTTACACAGCGAAACAGCCATCCAAAAGAAAGTCTCGTTCCTCCGCGCTTTCCGGTTCTATCGTATGGTCACGCCATCCACGTGAAAATCCATATCCATGTATTATCCATATTGGGAGAGGCTAGCTCCGTCTCAACACTGTGTGTGTGTGGGGGGGGATAGCTTCGTGCGTGCGGGGAGGGGAGCAGAAAGAGCGAGGCCAGCGAGTCCGCGGCTTCAAAATCCCAAAGTCAGTTAGTGCAGCTTTAAGCAAAACACACCGACATTGACATTGGCTGGAGTGAGTGCAGTGCATACTGTAGATCTATTATAATAAGTGGATAGGGTATTACTAGCTTGTAGCTGAATATCTCACGTGCTCGGGGGATTCTCGCGGTACTGCAGACTGAACCAGACAAAATTCAGGCGGGCTACCCAGAAATTTTCCCCATAGAACTCAATGCATATTAAAACAGCTGAACCTCAGCTGACAGAGAACCTACAGCTTTAATAAAGATCGGATTTTGTGGGGATTTTAGTGTCCCTTGTCATCCTGAACTTTTTTTCTTCTTAAATCCTTCGGTTTTGTTTAAATCCACACTTTAGTGCCACAAACTCTACTCCTCTGGCTCTCGCTCTAACTCCCACTCTGATGAACTGCTCTGATTGGTCAGAGCGCGGCCGAGCCCCTCTGTGCACGTGCGTGAGACCTGGTGTGAGACCCACACACGCGTGTTTGACGCAACGCATTATGGAAGATCATCCACTGCGCAGAACCGGGAGGACCAGACGATGCCCAAATACAGGCGAGTTTCCCATAGATCTTTGCGAGTTTCCCAAAGTTCTTTGCGAGTTTCAGGCAACTTCCGCTAATCTTTTCAGCCCCCATGCCGTCACAAAGCGCCACTGAGCACTGTCACTCCCGTATTCGTCCCGGAAACCGGATTCGTCCGGAAGTTCAGTTTGATCCAATGAGCATACGCAGCAGTAGATTACGTCACGGAATCTGGACGGAAGCGGAAGTAAATATAACAAACTACCTATTCATGCCTAAACTTAACCAGCCATTCCCATAAAATAACCCCAACCCAGCCTTAACCCTAAACTTAACCATCTTAATCAGACGCCTAAACTTAACCAGTCACCATTTAAGAACTTATTACACTTTTTGACATGCGCAAACTGAACTTCCGGACGAATCCGGTTTCCGGGACGAATACGGGAGTGACAAGCACAACCATTCATTTGAATAGGGCGCCATCTTGAATCGCCGGGGCTTGTGTGAGACTCACACACGCGTGTTTGGCGCAACGCATTATGGGAGATCATCCACTGCGCAGAACAATGCCCAAATACAGGCGAGTTTCCCATAGATCTTTGCGAGTTCCAGGCGACTTCCGCTAATCTTTCAGCCACATTCTTGCTATACTTACTGGTAAATGTGTATTATATGTACAGCAGAAAATGCAAAAAAAAAAAAAATGGTATAGAATATTACAAGTGTGTTTTTAAATACTTTTGTTTTTACCCATTGAGCAACTGAGTTTAAAGAAAGGGTAGAATTTGTGCAGAAAATATGACTTTGTTAAATTAAATGATGAAAGTTTTAATAAAAAATGTTGTTACTAAAATATTGGATGGCAAAACAGCCATATTTCTATTTAAATTACATTCATACAAATGATTGAACGCTCCCAGAGGTCAAATGCAGCACTTCTTGCAACTGAATTGGAACACAAATGAGAAGCATTTTGTGATAACAATTGAAACATTCTTTTACAGCAAATCTACCTGGCGTCTACCTTATGGCATCATCATTCTGAGGGTGGTTGCACAATGAACTCTGATAATCTGATAAGATGAAACTAAAAACTATATTTTTCTCTAGACTTTAAGATGTATCTCTGTTTATTATGTCTTGCGGTTTGTTTTGTTTATCTGCCTCTTTTTATCACATAGAGTGGCATGAATGATTAATATATGTGGTCTATAAATACAAGTCAATCCAATTATGTTTCAGGGAAAACAAAATCGAGTTCAGCGAGCACCTGCAAAAAACAGTGGAGCAGCACTTTTATCTAAAGGCTTTTAGCCATAGACAGTGTATGTGTTCCTGCTGCCCCCTATAGGCCACCTTCAGCATCACCTTTTACAACTAGCACATTGTCATAACACATTCGATCATGTACAGTATATCGTGGATAAAAGGAAGTACGTGTTATAGATCAAACCAGAGGTTCTTATTTACACACATGTCTGATGTAATGCTGACCCCTTCTGACCTTCAAATCCCATGAAAAAACCCTGCACAGAAAGAGAGGGGGGTTGAGGGCGATGGTGGAAATGTTCCTATGAAGTTTAAACCAATGTGTTAAGCACTTAAGTTTGAAATGTTCTTTCAAAGTACAGAGGCCTTTTGAAACAAGCAAAACATAGATGGGAAAGTGTGAAACAATACTAATCTTAATATCCAATGTTTTCACCTTTAATTGATTTAATATTAAAAAAATTCTGCTTGCACCATACAATGGGAATGTGGACAAAATTGCTCAGCTCTTACACTTACAACGAAATGCACAGATAGTGACTGACAAATATCATATAATAAACATATAGTAAACATATAATTACATTTGTAATTATATGTTTTTTTTCATAGAATAATATGGAATATTGTCTTAACTTGAAGGCCAAAACAGCAGATGGGGGCCATAGTAGACAGAGGACCCCAGCCACAAACACGAACAAACAGGAAAAAGAGACTGCTGTTGTAAATTATTGAAACATAACATGATAGATGCAATTTTATCTATTCCTCACGATTGTTAAAAATAAGCAGTGATAGTGAATCGAGAGATACAATTGGATATTCTACATTATATTATACTTGATGGGAGGACTGTCTCAATCCCCCAGCAGTTCTTTTTTGGATGGAGGAAGAGACACAACGCAAACACTCCAAACACGAGGAAGAAGAAATGCAGGAGGAGCAAGAACACACGCCGCAAGGGAACCATACCAAACACGAATCAACGGACACATAGGTAAAAAAAGTGATCAATCTGTCTAGCAAAGCTTTATCTGAATCCTGCAGCTCTGAGCAAAGGCTTATCCGTCGTACCAGCCACGTACGGCAAAGACTTTAATGTGATTGTGGACCTACATTTCAAACTCTTAGGCTCCAGGAGTTTTTTAGCGGCAATAAATTAAATCCGCCTCTTGTTTCTGTTACTTCAGGCACCAATACACGTGACCTGAGCCTACAGCACCAGAAGAGCTGGTCACTCATCAACAATCAACAGTGGGATCAAGAACTCCGTTCATAGGTAAAAGCACG